TGCAGAAGTCATTAGGAATACAAGGTCAATAGTAATGCAGAGTGCAGGGTGGTTGTATAATGCAGGGGTCAGTAGTAATGCAGAGTACAGAGGTCAGTAGTAATTCAGAGAGCAGAGGTCAGTAGTAATGCAGAGTGCAGGGGTCAGTAGTAATTCAGAGAGCAGAGGTCAGTAGTAATGCAGAGTGCAGGGGTCAGTAGAAATTCAGAGTGCAGAAATCAGAAGCAATACAGTGTGTAGAGGTCAGCAGTAATACAGAGTGCAGAGGTCAGTAGTAATGCATGGTTCAGGGTTCAATAGTAATGCAGAGTGCAGGGGTTAGTGGTAGGTAATCCAGTGGTCAGAGGTCAGTGGTAATAAGGTGTGAGTGCAGAAGATATTAGTAGGTAGTAAAGAGTTTAGAGGTCAGTTACACAGAGTATAAGGGCCAGTAAGTAATGTGTGTTACAGGTCAGAGTAGCAGTAATGCACAGGTTAGAGGCCAGGTGTAAGTAATGCAGAGGGTTCAGGGATCAGTAGTATGTAATTGCGAGTGCAGAGGTCAGTAAAGCAAAATGCAGTAATGTTCAGGGGTCAGTAGTAATGCAGTAGTTGCAGAGGTTAGCAGTAATGCACAGTTCAGAGTTCAGTAGTAATCCAGAGTGCAGAGGGTAGTAATAATAGCAGAGGGCAGAGGGCAGTAGAAATGCAAAGTGTCAGTTAGTAAAGCAGAGTGCAGGGGTCAGTAGTAATGCAGAGTACAGAGATCAGAATGCAGGGGTCAGTAGTAGTGCAGAGTTCAGTAGTAATGCAGGGTCAGTGCATAGTAATGTAGAGTGCAGGGGTCAGTAGTAATGCAAATTTCAGTAGTAGTGCAGAGTGCAGAGGTCAGTAGTAATGCACAGTTCAGAGTTTCAGTAGTAATGTAAAGGGGTCAAGTAGTGCAGGGGTAGAGTCAGTGGTAGTAATGCAATGTAGTCAGAGAGTGCAGGGGTCTATTGCAGAGTTCAGTAGAAGACATCAGTAGTAGTGCACAGTTAATGTAGGTCAGGGGTCAGTACTGTATGCAAGTTCACAGAGTGCAAGGTAGTCAGAGTTCAGTAGTAATGTAATGCAGAGGGTCAGGGAGTATAGTAATGTATGCAGAGTACAGAGATCAGTGCAGAGTTCAGTAGTAATGTAGTAATGTACAGTGCAGGGGTCAGTAGTAGTGCAGAGTTCAGTAGTAATGTAGAGTGCAGGGGTCAGTAGTAGTGCAGGTTCAGTAGTAATGCAAGTTTAGTAGTAATGTAGAGTGCAGGGGTCAGTAATAATGCAGAGTTCAGTAGTAATGTAGAGTGCAGGGTGTCAGTAGTAGTACAGAGTTCAGTAGTAATGTAGTAGTGCAGGGGTCAGTAGTAGTACAGAGTTTCAGTAGTAATGTAAAGTGCAGGGGTCAGTAGTAGTGCAGAGTTCAGTAGTAATGTAGTGCAGGGGTCAGTAGTAGTACAGGGTAGTAATGTACAGTAGTAGTGCAGAGTTCAGTAGTAATGTACAGTGCAGGGGTCAGTAGTAGTGCAGAGTTCAGTAGTAATGTACAGTGCAGGGGTCAGTAGTAGTGCAGAGTTCAGTAGTAATGTAGAGTGCAGGGGTCAGTAGTAGTGCAGAGTTCAGTAGTAATGTAGAGTGCAGGGGTCAGTAGTAGTGCAGAGTTCAGTAGTAATGTATAGTGCAGGGGTCAGTAGTAGTGCAGAGTTCAGTAGTAATGTAATGTACAGTGCAGGGGTCAGTAGTAGTGCAGAGTTCAGTAGTAATGTACAGTGCAGGGGTCAGTAGTAGTGCAGAGTTCAGTAGTAATGTACAGTGCAGGGGTCAGGGGTTCAGTAATGTACAGTGCAGGGGTCAGTAGTAGTAATGTACAGTGCAGGGGTCAGTAGTAGTGCAGAGTTCAGTAGTAATGTACAGTGCAGGGGTCAGTAGTAGTGCAGAGTTCAGTAGTAATGTACAGTGCAGGGGTCAGTAGTAGTGCAGAGTTCAGTAGTAATGTACAGTGCAGGGGTCAGTAGTAGTACAAAGTTCAGAGTTCAATTGTAATGCAGACTTGATTTGAGGCCTGTACAGTGGCAAAGGGGTCAGGAGCTGGCTGCACATTGGCCTCAGTCACAATCTACCCCATCACATGCCCGCTATTGACGGGTTACTGACCTCCACTTTAAACTATCAACCACCCACCATACTATAAGGATCTCTCCTCTACTCTTCCTTCTCACATTTTCTTTCTACTCACAAAACTTGCTTGCCTAAATATTGACCTCCTTGCTTCTTTCACTCTCCGTCGGCCTTCATTTATTCAAAATGGCGCCCTGGACTGCACGAAAAATAGTAAAAGATACAAAAAATTTGATAAAAGAAAAAAAAAGTATAAAACCAGAATCTTGATAACACCGACCTGAAATACATCATTCATTAAACGCAGACGTGATTGGTCGTCTTTCTCCAATCCACCCAGGATTGAGCCCCCGACCCCCCCCCCCCCCCCCCCCCCCCCCCCCCCCGTTCTGTTTACACGGCTCCCTCTAAGCTCTGCACATCTGCGTGTCTCCCCCTTCTGCTTTATTACATGCCATTTGTGCTGCGCTATAAACACATTTCCATATCCAACATCAAACAATACCTGCGACCTTTCCCGCCGTTGCTCGGGAGATAATTCAGCCTCTTTGTTGTGACAAAGTAATATCCCTGGTGCCGGGTCAGCGGGACCCGCTCGTCAGTGCCTGGCTTCCTACATAATTATTAAAATGACGAAGACGCTCTCTCTAACAGCTGATAAACAGAACATAAACATGCCGGTGTATCATTACACAAATAAGATTTATGATGGTGTCACCCCCTCCAATGGAATCGAATGGATCAAACCATCTCCTAAAGGGGAGAACAACTGCCATTTCTTTTATTTGGTGAACAGAGCGGATCCGTCTGTGTTTATAGCAATGAAATGACTTTAGAGAGACACTGGGAGAGATCGACTGAAACCGGAGAGTGCGGAATCCGGAGACCAATCAGCTTCCAGGTTGTATTGCCAAAGCCTAACCCCTTGGCGCCGGCGCCTCCTGGCCCTTTAAGGGTTCCAGAAGCCAGGAGGTGGGGCGAGGTTTTAGGGTCATGTGACTTCCGTGATTCGCCATCACGGCAGGTCACATGATCGGGAAAGGTCCCGATCGAAAGAGGAGATCGGGACCTTTCCGTGAGTACCGAATGTGTGCGCTGGGAGCGTGCAGGGCGCGCGCTCTCAGCACATATGTTTTTCTTAATTGCAAGCAAATGTGCGGCCGATCGGCGTCAACGCTGGGAGGCTGCACATTTGCGTGCGGCCGGGAAGAGGTTAACATATATTTTTTATATATATTTGTAATTGTAGATTTGTATTTTTATAGATATACAGTATATTTGAAATGTATTTTTAAAAATATTTTTCATATATTTTTTAATAGAACACAAATGTGCGGCCGCTCGGCGTCTAGACCCAGACGCCGGGAGGCTGCATATTTGCGTTCGGCCGACGACAAGAGGTTAAGGCTGGCCATACACTATACAATTTTCTGTCCAATTTCCTTTAGATTTACCTTCAACTATGTAGTCGGCAGCACAGTGGCTAAATGGTTAGCGCTTCCACTTGGCAGTACTAGGGTCGTTGGTTCGAATCCCAACCACAGCCTGGAGTTTGCATGTTCTCCCTGTGCCTGCGTGGGTTTCCTCCGGGTACTCCAGTTTCCTCCCACACTCCAAAGACATGCTGGTAGGTGAATTGGCTCCTGTCTAAATTGTCCCTAGTATGTATGAATGTGAGTTAGGGACCTTAGATTGTACGCCCCTTGAGGGTTATGGACCTTAGATTGTACACCCCTTGAGGGTTAGGGACCTTAGATTGTACACCCCTTGAGGGTTAGGGACCTTAGATTGTACGCCCCTTGAGGGTTAGGGACCTTAGATTGTACGCCCCTTGAGGGTTAGGGACTGATGACACTGACCAACATCCACCTCCCTACGGAGAGAGCCTGAGGTTGACCCAAAAACACCCCAGCCCCACCTAAGAGAGCCTTTCACTACCCCCCCCCCCCCCCCCCCCCCACCCACCCCGGCAAGAGATAAGACACTCATCTTCACAGCTCCAGATATCCTCAAGAACAAGAGTCAGGCTCTGCATACACCATCAAGCAGCCCACTGGTCTGGTCTCCATGCTGCGTGTGTCCCCTCTTCCTCTCCTTCTTTTCGGGGATGGCGCTGCCCCCTGAAAAATGCTGCTGCCCCCCTGAAAAATGCTGCTGCCCCCCTGAAAAATGCCTTGTTTGCTTTGTGGTAAATACACCCTTGGCCCTAGTATGTGTATGTATGAATGTGAGTTAGGGACCTTAGATTGTACACCCCTTGAGGGTTAGGGACCTTAGATTGTACGCCCCTTGAGGGTTAGGGACTGATGTGAATGTACAATATATATGTAAAGCGCTGCGTAAATTGACGGCGCTATATAAGTACCTGAAATAAATATATAGTGCAAGAGCCGGCCTAATTGGATACAATTGAAAGTGGGTACTTGTTTATTAATTCTCCAGATTTATTTATATTATATATATATATATATATATATATATATATATAAATAAATAAATCCGGTGAATTAACAGACAAGTACCCTGAAAGTGTAAAGTTTGACCTCGTATTATATGGTTTTTGGTAAATCTAAACTAAAAACCAAAAAGAAAATTGTATAATGTATGACCAGCCTAAGGTGAGTGTACGTCAATACTTTATGATAGGAATGTATATGGCAGAGTCGGTGACCCTTGTGGTCTTTTGTTCTTCCATCAATCTTCTATGTTTCTGTTTCCATTGGTGATTTTTATGACTTGGGAATACCACTCTCTTGCAACTTTCCATTGGGGTCACTAGAGATACAAGAATCCGTTGGGTGTTTCAAGCCTCCAGTGACCACCCAAAACACAAATAAATGTTGGGTGTAGGCAGGGGAGGACTGACAACTCATGGGGCCCCCCGGGCAATAGGGGATCATGGGGCCCCTTTGTCCTTGACCACAGTCAAATCACACCCAAAAAAGCCTATAACAGATACCAGGGGCATTTCATGGGGCCCCCTACTGACCCAGGGCCCTCGAGCAGTACCCGAGTGCTCAAATGGTCAGTCCGCCCCTGGGTGTAGGGTTGCCACCTCATCCCTTTAAAACCGAACACTTATTAATGACCCAGGTTCTGTGGCTGATGAAGGTGTTAACTAAACTCACTTGGTGCCTTCTCTGCGTTAAATTAGCCTCAGAACCTCCTGTGTCATTAATATGTGTTCGGTTTTAAAGGGATGAGTACTGTTTGGACTTTGAAGAAGGGGACATACCCCGAAAGCTTGTCCTCAAAATTGTATGTTAGTGCAAATAAAAAAAGTATCACGGACAGTACTCAATTGTTTCTGTTTTTAAAGGGATGAGGTGGCACCCTAGTTGGGTGGTGCCACCCTTTAAGCAGCTGCATAGCAGACATACAGCTACACGCGTTCACCGAAAAAGAGTAAACTGAACCCCAATGTCATCGATGGTCATAGCGTTTCCTCCTCGCTGCTCACAGCGCGCCCTCCGGCTCTGTTAGCTGGAGTGGAATTAAAACACCTGGGCTTATTAGATGACTACACATCCCCTCTAATTACTGAGCCGTGATGACCTCATCTGTATGTGGTCACCTGGGTATAATTAAGGAGACACTTAGTAACGTGGCAATGAGGCACTTCCTTCTTCCAGCAGGAACAGAAGAAAAGCTTCATCACATATCAAGGACTTTCATCGAGTCCTTGGATCAGCGAGAAGGTGGAGTGTGATAAAGGCCTGGCGTGCCCTTAAAGGGAACCCATTGGGGCAAAATTTGGAGGCAACCATTACTAAGCCATGCCAGCAGTCTGCCTGCATTAAGTCCTCATGCACACGGGACGTTTTTAGTCCTCACGCACACGGGGGGACGTTTTTAGTCCTCACGCACACGGGACGTTTTTAGTCCTCACGCACACGGGGATGTTTTTAGTCCTCACGCACACGGGACGTTTTTAGTCCTCACGCACACGGGACGTTTTTAGTCCTCACGCACACGGGATGTTTTTAGTCCTCACGCACACGGGACGTTTTTAGTCCTCACGCACACGGGACGTTTTTAGTCCTCACGCACACGGGACGTTTTTAGTCCTCACGCACACGGGACGTTTTTAGTCCTCACGCACACGGGACGTTTTTAGTCCTCACGCACACGGGACGTTTTTAGTCCTCACGCACACGGGACGTTTTTAGTCCTCACGCACACGGGACGTTTTTAGTCCTCACGCACACGGGACGTTTTTAGTCCTCATGCACACGGGACGTTTTTAGTCCTCATGCGACACGGGACGTTTTTAGTCCTCACGCACACGGCATGTTTTTAGTCCTCACGCACTCGGGATGTTTTTAGTCCTCACGCACACGGGATGTTTTTAGTCGTCGTGCACACGGGACGTTTTTAGTCCTCGTGCACACGGGACGTTTTTAGTCCTCATGCACACGGGACGTTTTTAGTCCTCATGCACACGGGACGTTTTTAGTCCTCATGCACACGGGACGTTTTTAGTCCTCATGCACACGGGACGTTTTTAGTCCTCATGCACACGGGACGTTTTTAGTCCTCATGCACACGGGACGTTTTTAGTCCTCATGCACACGGGATGTTTTTAGTCCTCATGCACACGGGATGTTTTTAGTCCTCATGCACACGGGATGTTTTTAGTCCTCATGCACACGGGATGTTTTTAGTCCTCATGCACACGGGATGTTTTTACTCCTCACGCACACGGGATGTTTTTAGTCCTCATGCACACGGGACGTTTTTACAGCGGCTGTTTTTGGCTTTTGATGTTTTTTTCTACAGCTAGTAACCCCCCCAGCATGTTCTCCTATGTGTCCATACACACACAGACTGGAATCAATGTTTTTTGGCTGGAAAAAAAACCCAGAGACTAGTGGATTTCTAGAGAGTTTTTTTAGCTGTAAAAATGCTCTAACGCTGTAAAACGCCACAAACCGGTATTTTTTGACTTTTTTTGACCAAAAAATATGTTTTTTGGTAAAAAAATAAACTGTAAAGAGCACAAATGCGGGAAACCGCTGCTAAACGCTAATGCATAACGATAAAAAAAGCTGAAAAATTCAAATTTTTAACGTGACTTTACACAGCCAATGTTACCAGCGTTGATCGCTCCAGATGTTAACCCCTTCATGCCCAGTGCCATTAGTACAGCATCAGCACTTTTTTATAGCACTGATCACTGTATTGGTGTCACTGGGGATGTCAGTGACACCAAGTCAGTTCCCCTCAGTGTCAGAATGCCTGTCACAGTTGCGCTCTAAGTCGCTGATGGCCCCCATTACTAGTAAACGCTATAACTATCTTTCAGTGGTATTTGTGTGTTTTTTATTTTTTGCGCTATGAAAAAAAAAAGACCGGCAATTTTGAGGAAAAAAAAACTATATTTTTGACTTTTTGCTATTAAACATGTCCAGTAAAAAATCAAATTTTGTCATAATTTTCAGCCAAAATGTATTCTGCTCCGTGTCTTTGCTAAAAAAAAAAAAAACCAATACGTGTAAAATGGCGGTATATATATACATACTGGATTTTTTTTTTTTTTTTTCATTAACTTATAGCGGGACTGTGGAACTGCGGCGGATATTCTGACACTGAGGGGAACTGACTTGGTGTCACTGACATCCCCAGTGACACCAATACTGTGATCAGTGCTAAAAAAAAAAAAAAGCACTGACACTGTACTAATGGCACTGGGCAGGAAGGGGTTAACAACTGGGGCAATCAAAGGGTTAACTATGTGCTGGGTGGGTGTTTTTACTATGGGGCCGTGTGTTTATGCATCACTGTAATCACACTGCTTTGCATGGGTGGGCTGTGCAAGGCAAAAAGGAGAAGCGGATGACATCACAATCTCTGTCCTGTCCAATAAGAGAGTGCTTTGTAATCATTGAAAAAAAAAAAAAAAGTTCTTCTAATGGCAGAGGTGCCAAGCGAGTGACCCCCCCCCACCTGTGTTGAGTATACAGACGACAAGTCGGTCCGGCAGCATCCGCAAGGGATCATGGCTGCATAGGCTACTACAGTGCATTTCTGCATCCCCAACAGTCCTCCAGATGTGAAATATATGTAACCAAGCTAGAACAATGTAAGTTCACCAATGAAATAGACATTTTTTTTAAATGTATATATTTTTCAAAGGTAATTTTTTTTTGGAAAAAAATACACTTTAATTATAAATTTTACCATGTCCTTCCAGATGGATTCTGAATGGGAGGATCTGGTTCATTATAATCACCTGGTGCACTCTCAGTGTTCTGATGAGAAAAGCTGCAGGGTCTGCATCTCTATAGAAGTATTTAAAGGGTATCTCCACTTTCGTGGGAATAAAATCGCAAACAGTGGAGTGACTATTTAATACTTGGGTAATATCTCACAAAAACGTACATTTTTATTGCAGAGGATTCCTAAAATCGACTTGTTTCTTAGTGAGGACTAGGGGCGGATTGAGCATTCGTGCACTGCCCGAGGGCCTGGGGTCAGTAGGGGGCACCATAAAATGCCCCTGGTACCTTTCATAGGCTTTTTTTGGGTTTGCTTTGAGTGTGGGCAAGGACACAGGGGCCCCATGATCCCCTATTGCCCGGGGGCCCATAAGGTGTCAGTCCACCCCTGGTGCAGACTTCTGGGAAAATCAGGGAGAAAATCACACAAGCAGGGGAATGACATATTTGGAGGCAATGGAGTTGATTTACTAAAACTGAAGAGTGCAAAATCTGGTGCAGCTTGGCATAACAACCAATCGGCTTCCAGTTTTTTTTGTCAGAGCTTATTTGAACAAGATGAAGTTGGAAGCTGATTGGCTACCATGCACAGCTGCACCAGATTTTGCACTCTCCAGTTTTAGTAAATAAACCCCTTTTGCGTACTTCAGTGGTGTACAAAATGCCTTTGGGTTACCTTTTTGCATTGAATTTTACAGAAAAGCTCAGCGGCTGCAGATTGAAATGGAAAGGTAATGTAAAGAGCACCCCTTTACATCAGGGTCCTCATTACAATGCCCCCTTACATCAGCTGTCCCCACCAGAGTGCCCCCTTACATGCCCCTTTACATCAGCTGTCCCCACGAGAGTGCCCCTTTACATCAAGTGACCCCACCAGAATGCCTCCTTACATCAGCTGTCCCCACCAGAGTGCCCCCTTACATCAGCTGTCCCCACCAGAGTGCCCCCTTACATCGCTGTCCCCACCAGAGTGTCCCCTTACATCAGCTGTCTGTCCCCCTTACATCAGCGTGCCCCACCAGAGTTTACATCGCCTGTCCCCATCAGCGTGCCCCCTTACGCCTGTCCCCATCAGCGTGCCCCCTTACATCGCCTGTCCCCATCAGCGTGCCCCCTTACATCGCCTGTCCCCATCAGCGTGCCCCCTTACATCGCCTGTCCCCAGCAGAGTGCCCCCTTACATCAACTGTCCCCAGCAGAGTGCCCCCTTACATCAACTGTCTCCAGCAGAGTGCCCCCTTACATCTCCTGTCCCCAGCAGAGTGCCCCCTTACATCGCCTGTCCCCAGCAGAGTGCCCCCTTACATCGCCTGTCCCCAGCAGAGTGCCCCCTTACATCGCCTGTCCCCAGCAGAGTGCCCCCTTACATCGCCTGCCCCCTTACCCCAGCAGAGTGCCCCCTTACATCGCCTGTCCCCAGCAGAGTGCCCCCTTACATCGCCTGTCCCCACCAGAGTGCCCCCTTACATCAGAGACCCCATCAGAGTGCCCCCTTACATCAAGTGACCCCATCAGAGTGCCCCCTTATATCAACTGACCCCATCAGAGTTCCCCCCGTACTTAAAATGTTCCCATCAGAGTGCCCCCTTACACCAGTTGTCTGCATCACAGTCCGTCAAAGACCGGGGTGGGGGGTGCATTTAAAATCTGGGGAGAAGGAGACCTCAGCACCACCCCGTGCCCCCAGCACCCCATAGATCAGGGTCTGCTGTGCATGTCTGTTAATATATGAATTGGTTGCTTTATTGCAATAAACATGCAAAATGCAGCATACAGACACAAGTGCCGAAATGCATGGAAAAGCGTTGGACCAGTGGATGGGCAGCTAA